GTAAAAGTAACTAATGTCAATCTGTTTTCGGTTTTAAAAACTCTGATAAGTGACTCTTAAATAAGCCATTCGACCAATTTCCAAAACGAAACATTTCCACGCCTATTCAGGTAATCATTTTTTGTTTTTCGTATTACTAAGAAACTGCGGGCCTAGACAAAAAAGAAAAATTCCCTTCAAAGTTAGTGTATCTTGGAGCCAAAGACGCCTTCAAAATCATTTTGGGTTGGTCGGCAAATGTAAAAATAAAACAATGAGGGTCATATCTCTAAGGGGAAAATAATGTTATTTTGGTTCTAAGTTGGAGATTTTCAGCAATCAGAATCGAACAATTCATATGCAGCCCTCACCAAATTAAAGGCTCGGGTGCAAGATAGAAGAGGGATTTAACTTGATTCAAACTGTAATTTTTGTAAAATTGTTTGTGTTTTGTGTTTGTTGTTGTCATATTTTGAATTGGTGGTCCAATTTTTATGTTAGACGGAACGATTTTCAATTTTTAAAATTTTATGTTAGTCGATACGCCGCCAGCTAAAGTTTATATGACTTGTGTAAGTTGAGCAGTTTCTCCTCTGACGCCCAAAACTTAATGCTGATATTATCGAAACACATGTTTTGCAGAGTTCTGATGTTCGTGTGGTATTTCTTCTTGTAATTTTCCTTGCTTGATTCAAGTTTCCTTGTGACGTTCCAATTAGATTTTTTTCAAAGATAGTCAACAAATCAAAATCAAATTCTACTCTCCACCTCCCTTAAATCCGCCTTCAGTGAAATTGTCAGTTTTATACAAAAAGTAATATTCTTTTATCCGTGCAAATAATATCGACCAATTTGGTTGATGTCTGAGTTTTAACACCCTTATTACCTCAAATGTTATCAAGCTTGGTGCTTCAAGTTATTTTGCATTGCAAATTGGTCAAAACTGTTTATCTGAAATTCACTTATTGCGACAGATTTCTCTAACGCTTCACGAGTTGTTCTACCGACAACAGATTGACATTAGTTAGTTCTACTTTATTTTCTTAACCTATATTTTGCTACCCTAGGTGTTTACTTACGCCTAATTGATAAATCCATTCATTGGTAGTGGTAATTCTTGCGTTGAAAACAGTTGTCTGAGGACTGCAGGGTTAATTACCATTACTGGTTAAAAAAGTCAACGTTTTAACTAACATTCGGTTTTATCTCGATGACAAAAGACATAGAATTTCCTATTTTTGTTTTCAACGAAATGAAATTTCATGGTTCACGTTTTGTTTGTTTTTATTCTGCAAATTATCAAGAAACTTGTATCTTGATAACTTGCAAAGAAAAACAAACAAAACGTGAGTCTGTATCTTGATGAATTGCTGACTTTTCTCTGCAAGTTATCAAGATACCTTAGGTGTTAACTTAGGCTTAATTGATAAATGCACTCATTAGTAGTTGTAATTATTGCGTTGAAAACAGTTGTCTGAGAACTGCAGGATTAAAAACCCTTTCTGTTAAAAAAAGCCATCATTTTAACTAACAGTCGGTTTTATCTCGAAAACAGAAGACACTATTTAGCAATTTTTGTTTAGAACAAATTGGAATTTCGTTGTTCACGTTTTGTTTGTTTTTCTCTGCAAGTTATCAAGATACAAGGCTCAAATTTTGAAAAAAAAAGATAATACTAATTATAATGACTGAACTGTGCCAAAATTCGAGAACTAAATCATAAACATTTTTAGAGGTGTTTTGCAATGGAAGTAATCTTGCAAACAGTATAAAAAAAATGGAATATACGGGCTGAAATTAATTCTTCAGAATGTTGATGAGCGCGACTTACTCTTTATAGTGCCGAAAAATGAAAGATAACAAATTAACAGATATACTTGGTTCTGCTTGGATACCGTCATACTTGTTTTGGCGATATATACAATAAATTTTTTTGGGAGCTTATACCAGAAAATTGGGAAGTTTTCATCACAACAGACATGCTAATGAGAAGCCTGTGCACGATTTTATATGACTGAATTCAATCATCAGCGCAACATTATTCAGAAATGTTTAGCCTTTTTCTTACGCCGGACCCAGTCTCTGCTATTTCTGCTATCCCTCAGTTTTCGGCAGAATAAACATTAATACAATCTCATCAGCTTCCCAAGGAACTAATTCGATTCCTTTTAATTTTTTTTTAAATTTTTTGTACTGCTTGCGAGGTTGTTTCTACAGCAAAAACATCTCTAAAACTAGTTATGATATAGTTCTCGAATTTTGGCTCAGTTCAGTCATTAAAATTAGTATCATATATATTTTTTTTCAAAATTTGAACCTTGTATCTTGATAACTTGAAGAGAAAAACAAAGAAAACGTGAAAAACGAAAATTCATTTTGTTGAAAACAAAAAATTCCAATTTCTATGTCTTTTGTTTTCGAGATAAAACCGACTGTTAGTTGAAACGGTGGCTTTTTTTAGCCAGAAGGGTTTTTAGTCCTGCAGTCCTCAGACAACTGTTTTCAACGCAAAAATCACCACTACTAATTAGTGGTTCTACCAGTTAAGCCTAAGTAAACACCTAAAGTAACAAAATATAGGTTAACGTAATAAAGTAGAACTAACTAATGTCAATCTGTTGTCGGTGGAACAACTCGTGAAGCGTTAGAGAAACCAGTCGTAATAAGTGAATTTCAGATAAACAGTTTCGACCAGTTTCCACTGCAGAATAAATCGAAGCACCAAGCTTGATAACATTTGAGGTAATATGGGTGTTAAAAATTAGACATCAACCAAATTGGTCGCAATTTTTGCAGGGATATTAGAATAACACTTTTTAGTATAAAACTGACAACTTTACCCAGGTAGGAAGAGAGCACAAAACTGACAATTTTACTAAGGGAGGGAGGAAGCAGAATTTGTCTTTGAATTGTTTGCTATCTTAGAAAAAAAATCAAATTGCAACGTCACAAGGAAATTGGAATCAAGCGAAACTTAAGGGAAAATTACAAGAAGAAAAACCACACGAACATCAGAACTCTGCAAAACATGTGTTTCGATAAAATCAGCATTAAGTTTTGGGCGTCAGAGGAGAAACTGCTCAAGTTCAACACATCTCATATAAATTTTAGCTGGCGGTGTATCGACAAGCATAAAAATTTAAAAATTGAAAATCATTCCGTCTAACCTAAAAATCGGACCACCAATTCAAAAAATGACAACAACAAACTCAAAACACAAAAAATGTACAAAAATGACAGTTTGAATCAAGTTAAATCCCCCTTCTATCTTGCACCCGAGCCTTTAATTTGGTAAGCGCTGCATATGAATTGTTCGATTTTGATTGCTAAAAATCTCCAACTTAGAACCAAATAACAATATTTTCCCCCTAAAGATATGACCCTCTTCGTTTTTTTTCTACATTCTTTTTGGGCCGACCAACCCAAAATGATTTTGAAGGCGTCTTTGGCACCAAGATACACTAACTTTGTAGGGAAATTTTGTTTTTTGTCTAGGCCCGCAGTTTCTTAGTAAAATGAAAAACAAAAAACGACTATCTGACTAGGCGTGGTAATCTAAAACTCAAACCAAAGAATTTGTAGTCTGTAAACACTTTTGACACCCGCTAACAGCTCAGTTTTGTCTAAATTTTTAAAGTTACAGCTTTGCGAGAGTCTAAAATCCGTTTTTTTTAATATCGCTTTTTTGTTTTCTGTCTAGGCCCCCACTTTTTATAAAATGTAAACAAAAAAACAATTATCTGACTTGGCGTCCAAATCGAAAACAAAAAACCGGTATCTGATTCGGCGTGGAATTAATTCGATTTAGAACTTGGTCGAACTGCTTCTCTGAAATTCACTTATTACGACAGAGTTTTTTTAACTGACAACAGATTGACATTAGTTACTTTTAATTTTTTACAATAGGTTATATTTTGTTACCTTAGGAGTTTACTCAGGCTTAAATGGTAAATCCACTCTGTAATGGTGGTATTTGTTGCCTTGAAAACAATTTTCTTACAACTGCAGTATTAACAACCTTAATTTTTGAAGAAAAATCATCGTTTCGTAGGCTCTCAGTAATATAACAACAAAATGCTCGTACTAGAGGCAAACTCTGGATGTTTTGACTGCCCATTAACTGGTCTCTAATAGTTTTTGCTTTATGAACAATTGACGAACTATGAATTTTAGGCTGGTAGTATCAAAATGTAAGGGTAATGGAATTAATAAGATCAATTAGCTTGCCTAAGTTTAAGATGAAACGATTTGTAGTGCGGAATAATTCGCCACACGTAAATAATGCGCGTTACATTTTCAGCATTGCAGTATAAAACGAGCAGTTTCGTTAGATAGGTGTTATGGTGTTATGTTAAAACAGTGGTGAGCGAACTCGGCGGGGACCACGAAAATCTAGGGATCAATCCCCCGACAGAGCTTTTAGTTTGTGAAACTAAAAACTACCCTGTTCAAATACATTGTTCACAATCTTTGAAAGTCGAAACAATAAATGACGTCGAAAAAAAAGCAGTTTAACAAGTTTTTGACTAAAACTCCTTTGGAAACAGTTCACTTACACAGTGTATCCAACTGTTTGTCGTTTGAAAAGAAATGTAATAATTGATCGATTCGAACTGTAATTTTTTTAAAAAATAATTAAAGCACCAGATTTAATCACAATGTTTTTTACGAAAATGTTTTCAACATTTGTTTTTACTATAGAAGTTTGAAAGAAAGCAGAAGGTTTAAGGCATAACAAATGTTTCTTATGAAAAAAATGTCCAAGTCTTAGCAAACGTGATGGCTTTTATGCGGGAAAAATAATCAAACAGTTCTCAGAAAATCAAAATTCAGACGACCAACAACGCGGTAAAACCATGCAAGTATACTAAAATTACAAAAACCTCCTCGACCAAAGTGCTTGCAAAAAGGTCCAAAAAAATATTCACGTTTTTCATCTTTATTTATTTAATTTTGAAACAACTTCACACCCAACAAAAAGTATTTGGTTTGAAGCAAATAATTCGAATTTCGATTTTCAGGGCAGAAACAAAAAGCGAGTATCTGACTCGGCGTCCAAATTATCCGATAAGTTCAAGGACGACATTCTCGGCTTCGCACAGAAACTGAAGACTACATGCGAAGAGAGTGACATGCGAATAGTGGATGGGAGTGGCACATTTGCGATAGTGACTCATGACCAGTACGAGAGACTGAATCACACTCACCATATTTTCATCATGCCTGGACTGAAGAGACAGATTACTATAATGTAAGAGCAGAAAGGTTTTTTTAAGAACAAAAGCAGGTGGCCTTGCAAGATAATTTGTGGATTCCTTGTTCGCAAAAATGCTTGTTCTTCTCAATATCAATTTTTTATGGTGCTGGTTCCGCTTAGATCCAGTGTTAAAGCATTAAGATACTATACTATTACCAGTTGTTTTTTGCCATTTTGACTTCATACTTTTATCAAACCAAAATTATTCATAAATATGCTGAGCTCGATTTGTCTCGAATGTAATTTATTTTGAAAAACATTTTTGCTCGCTCGAAATAGCATTGAAATGTAAAACACAAAGCCGTTAATTTTTACGCAGACTTCAGTTGATAAATAAAAATTTACCCCTCGAAGCCCGCACATGCTTAGGAAACAATATATTACAAACATTTTAGCAAAATTGAACTAAATTTTACAAAGTCTGATTTGTTCAAGTTACAGCAGATTAGAAGAATCGAATGAAATGGATGTTTAAAAAGCAAATGTGCTCAAAATCTGTCATTTGGTTAACGAAAAGTTACCATACAAGCTGACGAACGAGACAAAAATATTTCTAATCGCAAGCGTAACTACCGAACTAAGGGGTGAATTTAGGGAGGGGGTGGGGACGGACGTCCTTTCTCTCTCAGGGAATTGACCACCTGCCGACCCTAAGTACTATTTTGAGATATCCATATTTAGGGAAGAAGGAGGGAAGGGGAGAGCGCGCGCCTAAAAAGCGCAATTTTTTGGTCAACTTTTTTCAAAAATGCCTTTTTTGGCCTGTTTTTTTTCAAAATTATGCCTGCGGCGCACAAAATTTGACCAAAACAGGGTCTTTTTAATGCTTTTGGTGCTTTGGGAGAGCGGAAAATCAATTTGGTCGACCTAATAAAAGTCGACAAAATTTTCGAAAATTTTTTGAAAATTCGCCCCCCCCCCCCCCCCCCATCGAGAAAATACTAGATCCACCCGACCAAACTTATTGAAAAAGCATTTCTGTAAACCAGGGTTTTATAAATTTTAAGCATCTTGATTGACTTTTTTTGAGAAAAATTAAGTTAAACAGAGCTGACTGAATCAACCCAATTGATTTTGCAGGTGCTCCTAGGACACTTTAATAGGGTCTTTTTGACAATAGTTTTTGCACTGCAGGCAAAATTTTGAAAAAAAAGCTCAATATGCCGTTTTTGAGCCATTTTTAGAAAATTTCGGCCAAAAAAACCGTGTTTTTTTTTCGGCGCACGCTCTCCTTCAAAATTAGTATATATTAGCGCCCAAGGTGCCTTTGGAAAAACTTTACGGTTCGTCGGCCGAAAATAGATGTCAAGAAATAATACCAATGGTGGGACTCTTTGATTGGTGACGGGTCGAATACCTGAGGAAGGGGTGTCCGCCCCTGTCAATACGTAATTTTGAATATCTGATGTTACGTCTGGAAATCTTAAGACCGTATAGTTTTGAGATTAAAATTACGCTTCTTGTACGAATAGCAGTTTTTTTATTGGAGAGCGTAAGACTTTTTCCATGGGAGAAAACGATGAGCTAAGTATGTAATAATTCATAGTTTTAAATCGATGATTAAAATGTCTAACTTCTCGGTCTTATTGAACAGTTTTCAGTTCTCACTGCATGCGTTTCAGAAAGAGTCAACCTGATTTACAGCAGCCAGATGGAATGAATGTGCCTCAAATTTGTAAACAGCTTCAAGGAGGAATATACACTCAAATTAGTAAGCAATTTTGAATCAGTACGATTAATTATGGATAAATTTATTATGTGTATCGTGCAACCCGAGCTGAGGTCCGCAGCTTATGTTGTGATCAAACTACGTCGCATTAAAGTACTTTTCGCGACCGAAATTCCATACTCCTGCCCGACGTTTGAGCTCCGCAACCTCGGAGCGTGGGTCGCGCAAAGTCGCAACATGGATCTCGCAGAAACCCAACAATTCTCAAAATTTTTGAAACTATGTTTTGATTATCAAGAAGTACCATTCATCTGATTGATATATTGAGCGATATTTACTCGAAAAGAGTTGGCTACCACAAAATGAACGCTTGAAGAGGACATCTTCGCAATTTTGAAATTTAGATCTTCCCGAGTTATAAATAATTAATAAAATTTAAAATAGCCAGCAGGCAGTTGGGAAAGAGTCATGAACGCAAAGAACAGAAAAAATTACTGACTTGTTTTTGGAAACATCTCAGCTTTCAATTTAAAAGAAAAAAATAGATGCCCCTGAAGCTCATAAAATTTCTAGAACAATTTATGACCGGCATTTTTTGATAAGGTTGACCAAATCTGAAAATTGAAACCCACTTTCGAAACTATAGTCTGTCATCTTTTTCGTGTCTTTTACACTTTTGCTGTTCAAAAGCCGAATTACCTTCCTATCAACAAAAGAAAGGAAGTGAATTTAGAAGAAATCAGAAGTCAAACCACGATAAATCAAACTTTAGCGTGAACAAATTTCAAGAGTTTTTCTTGAAAAACAAAACAAAAAAATCACCAAGATCTATAAAAGAGTGTTCACTACGTTCATGATTCTTTACAATAGCGAACTTTAGTAAGCCGCAAATTTTGGTGCCACGTTACGGCTTTTTGATAGTATGTGCACTGAGATTCGAATAATAATAAGTAACACAGTTGATACAGTTTATATTCATTAAATGAACCGCAAACAGCTGTTTATTTCAATCAACATAACATTAAGATAGAGGTGAAGCTGAGCTTCGCACCTCTTGCGATACAAAACAGGAAAAAATTGAAAAAATCAAAAATACCTCATCAGATAGCCTTTAAGCCGAATTTAAAAAATCAAGAAAACTTTAGGCTTTTTAAAAATTAACAAGTCCAACTCACCCGCTAAACGCTCAAAAAACTTTATTTGCTCGTCAAATGAATCAATATTAGGCCACTAGGCTGATATAAAACAGGCCAAGACCTGTTGGGCCCAAAAAAAACTCAAAAAAAATTTGAGACTAACTAGAAGTTATTAAGTCCCCTCAGCCTCAACATGCGGAAACCCACGCACAAATGATTTTTCGCTCGTCGAAAGACACAATATAAGGCTAAAATCCATTTAATCTAGGCCTAAAACTATCAACCCGAAAAAAAAGAGGAAAAAAAACAAAAAAGCCTGAAAATATTGTTATCATGAAAAACTTGAACAATAATTATATTAAGATTTTTGGCATCTTGTGCGATCCAGAAGTGAGCATTAAAAAATGTTTGCGTTGAAGCGATTTTCCGTAAACCGACAAAAAAAGGCCGAAATCATATGCGCGAAAAAATTTGAACGAAAAAAAAACTTTACTACTTTACTAGATTGCAAACAGCAGAGGTAAATCGGAACACTACAAGCAACTATAAAAACTCGATTTCACAGAATTTCTAACACTATTTATCTCGCAATTTCTGAAATGCATAATTTATACATAATGTGATTTTATGCTTTTCAATTTGTTACATGCAAAATTAGAGTGGATGCCTTCAGTTTCGTAGGTTCCAAACTAGTACTTGCAAAATTGTGTCTATTTGTATTTGGTCCCACTTCTACTGCATAGCATTGGCAATTTGTTAGCACATGCAGCTGCTTTATTTGCTAATAGTGTTAGCCGGTTGTTAAGCCATCGTGGCCGAGAGGGTAGGGCGTGAGATTCCAATTATTGAGGTAGCAGTTTCGAAGCACATACGTAGCAAAGTTTTACTAGTTCGAGGCTTATTTCTATCTTTTCTTATTCCACTTTATAAATCTTTTTTGTCGTGTTCTTGCTAGTGTTTGCGAAACCTGCCTTCGCCTCTGTGTAATAAACCCAATTAAGAAATAAGGCAATTAAAAAACTATGTCTGTATGAGTTCGCATGTGTCATTGGGCTTAAGGCGACTTTAATACAGACCCAACAAAAATGGACGGTCAATTAGATAGCATAAGCGTAAGATCTTGTCTTCGTGGAATAAACTTGGAAAAAATCACTTTTTCTGCCCAATTGGATCATTCAGTCAATCTATGAGGTGATTAATTTTGGACTGAACTCAAAATCAGGCTTTCCATTTAAATCGAAAACATAGCAAACAAGGATAGCCGATTTTGCCTTTTACTTTTACGACTTTGATTTTAAGTAAAAATTGCTGAACCCGTTAGCAAATTCCAAACTGTGGTAGCTAAGAAGACAAATATGAACAGACAAACGATGGTCTGATCATTTTTTCTTCAGGACGAAAATAATTCGGTCGTGCAGCAACGGCCCAGAAATCAAATAGATTTAGATTAAGACGAAAAAATTAATATCTCACTCAATGCAAATTAACTACTTGCTATTTCAGAGGACAGCAAAACCACCTTCATGTTGACGGTATCTAAATTTCTTGAGTCCAGACAAGAGGCCTTTCACATATTACGTCATTCCATCTGGTCCGAGATTTCTCCCTACTATGATGACGTCAGATATGAACTGGATATTGAGCAGCAGAGCAACTTTCATCGAGATTTTCTGGACCCAGACGAGCTTTATGCACTGGACCACGATACTAGTTGTTTAAGACTGCGAGAATTTGTGCCTTTATAAATCCAATACAAAATTCGCTATATCGGCTCAAAACATTCTTCGCACATGACTAGAAGCAAGAAAAAATATTGGAAACATAAATTGGACTATCTAACGGGAAAACTTATCAATATTATTCAATGAAACATTTTTATAAATGGAATTTATTAAGGTTTGATGCAATTTGAATGGATATTACTATCAAGATCAATGAAACTATTTTGGCAAGAAACAGTGCCTCTAAGTTATCTGGCCCCCAAAACTATCAATGTCGACTTTCGAAACTTGATTCAATTTTCCTCTGCCATATAATATCATCATAATAAAATTATTGCACTTGGCTTTACTTATTGTTCTGATTTTGTTAACTTGATAGAAAAAAATAACGCATATTAGACTTTTCGAGGCCAGAAATTACGAATGTTGAAAATGTTCAAAAATATTCAGACTCTGTTTCTGGTTAGCTTCAAGTAGCTCTTCGGTCAGTTCATTTCAGATAGTTTATCTCATTCATCTTCTCCTGATGATTGGTTATCATCTTCTCTCTCGTGTACTTGTCTCTGCAGTTGACCCATGAGTGGCACTGGGTTCCCATCAGGGCCCATTGTCATCGGTTCCATCGCTGTCCCCTGCATCCTCGACAGAGTGTTCAACAGTTTCTCAGTCTCGACCAGCTTCCGCTCTTCGCTCATTCCCTCCATTGGATCCTTCTTGGGTGGCTCATATCGCCCTAAATCAGCACCAAAAACATATCAACTGAACTTAAACAAACGTAAAAATCGCCTTTTAATTACGCGATCTAATCGAACTCAATTCGGCTCAACATGTTAATATTTGGAACTGAGATACTGCTCCATTAAAAGGTTTCAAAAGTTCACTAGCTTATAAATAATTTTAACTCAAACCTCATTTACATAAACATCTCCGCTACATTAACTGCTTCTATCAACAAATCGCAACCCCACTATGTCAAAGAACTAAGTACTTGATAGAGAATTTTTATGCTAAAGTTGACTAACACGCTAAATCTTCCTTAAAATTGAGATTCATTTGAAAAATTGCCACTCACCAGTGACGTAATTGAATCCATGCTCATACTGCTTGAACTCCTCTGTATCTGTATCCTCATCATCGGAGTAATCTGGCTGAGAAGCGGGTACACTTCTCAGTCCCAGTCCCCTGGTGAACATCATCCCTGCTGCATTTCCATACCCAGTATACTTGAGAAGTCTGTTCACGTTTTCCTTACAGAGGACGAATAGGAATTCAGACACCAGTTCACCTACTTCTCTGTTTACCCCTAGATCAAAAAGACATGGTTAAATTTTACCACTTCAAACATTGAACCAATTTTATACATGGAAGATTTAAAACAAAGCATTTCGACATTTCCGTAATATTTATTTTTCCCACGAACGTTTGCTAGAGTAAAAACGTGAGAAATTCTGTTGAAAATCTTAAAACCAACAAAATCACACGATGATTGATTCATTACAGTCCATTTTGAAAGCAGTTGGCGATAATAATATTTTCTATCTCCCACACTATAACAATATCAGCCAAACCTGTCATCAGTCTGATTAACTCCCCCTTCAACTCTCCGCCCTCTTGCGGCATCACGTGAACATCTTTCCTCGGAGGCAGAATCATGTGTCTAAGAGGCTTCCGGATACATCTGCAGCTCCTGCACACATTGCCAAGAGCCAGAAAAATGGCCATTTTCAAAGTCACATTTTCAGTGACTGAAACTGCTACTTTTATTGCACTGTAGAACGTAGAAACTACGTCACCGATTGACCGATTTTCATCCCATTTTGAAAGTTTCGCGCTACTTGAATTTTCTAAACTATCGGTCTTCTTTTCAGATACAATTCCAGTTAATTTTTCCTGGTTAATTGCTCCGGTTTCTTTTCCTGCCGAGTCATTTTCGGCTAAATCAGCTTCTTTCAAAGATTCAGTCAAGTTTGCGTCATTGTTAGTTTCGATTTGATGACTATCATCAACAAAGCACGCTTGCAAAGCATATTTCGGCATAACGCCCATTATACTGTAAATATGAGTTAGTAGATCTTCATCTGTCATGCACTTAGGATTGACCATATTAGTAGCCATGAGAATTCGATCGCAACTTTTTGACAAACTAACCAAAAAATCGTGAATATCTTCTGATTCTGTTTCGTGATCTAAGTTTGCAATCAAGTTATAAATTGCCTTGAGCACATTTCCCAGAACTGATTTTGGGGGAGTCTCCCAATTCCAAGAATCGCTGCTGTTCTCAATGTTCTCGACTAGAAAAGACACAACACATGAAAAAGAGCCCGAGATCTTCGGATGCAGCATAAAAACGTTTCGCGAATCGGACGCTATTGCCGAATATATAAACATAAGCGAAAACTCGAAATGAGTCAAGTCCATATTACATTTAGACACTTTTTCGATTGCACAGTACTTTCTTGATATAAGCGAGGCGTAATTAGATTCAAATTCGAGGCTTTTTAACATTTCGACCGCTTCTCTTGTAGCTTGGCTTTGAAACACTAAATTGCACAGACATTTTACTGCTCTTAGACTGATTGTATCTCTAGTCTGTGAGGCCCCTTCTCGCACTTTAATATCTGCAAAATGGAGCAAATAGTACAAATTAGCATCCATAATAGCCGTTTGACATCTGCGATCACGGGTAAGGACTAGCAAAACATCCAGAGCTGACTCAGTCAACCTATCGCACGCTTCTGGTCGCTTTAAAACCTTTGCTATGCTCTGTGCTAACGAAACTAAGATGTCAGTCGGCACTTTGGATAAGTTCGTTGTTGACTTAAATTCGCTGAAAAACGTATCCAGTGCTTTTGTTTTTTCTTCAGTTGACTGTTCGGAGTTTAAAGATCCGAGCACAGATGTAAAATCGGCTTCCATATTTATCTAAAACTTCAGCAAAAATTCGCATCTAATAATTTCACCATTGCAACCGTTAGTGAATTCCTTTTATGCTTATTACTTCATCTACTTTCATCATCAGCCTCATCATTTTCTAGCTCACACAAAATGACACAAAAACAAGGGTAAAAACAGCATGCAAATTATTCATTGCTGATATAAGTCAATCTATCGCAGCCCATTCAACGCTTTTTTCTGAGCTTCATTTGACATGTATAATCTATTGTTAATTGACAAGATGCACTAGGAACAAATTACAAGTCCTAATTCTCCATAACTGTGCTTCAATCTAGCTAAAATCCACTTTCGAAATTAGAACTCGTTCACTTTTTAAAGTAATGCGTAATTGTCAAAATGTCAAAAAATGGACGTTTACGAAATCCATAGCTGATTCCTATCAAAAGTACAGAGAACACGCGTTTTCAGGTAATACTACCTCTCAGTTTGATTAGCTTTTTGTCTTTCAGCAGTGGCACGGTCGTTTTTGTTTTCAAAAATGGGTCAAAAGGTCAAATACTTTTCAAAACCACTGTCGATTTCTTGTCAAAATTATAAAAAGTTGCTTATGCAGGGGATGCCCTTACGGCTTGTTTTTTTCAATTGAACCCTTAATCTTAGATTGGGAAATGTAGTTTTCTAGAAAAGCCAAAACTTCCAGAAAACAGTCAACATTTCGAAACATGTAATTTTTCTAAATTCAGTATTACTTTTATGTACACATTAGGACAATAATCGCTATGCAGAAAAGTTTCCTAGCACCTATTCTTTCGATTGAACACTTTAACTCAGATTTGGTAGGGTAGTTCTTCGTTTATCTCTCCACATGCTATGTAAAGTAATAAGGGGGTGTATTAAGCGCCTCATATCCTAAAAAGATGACAAAATGACTTGCCTCAATTTTATTTGGATTGATTTATTCTGCCAGTAACGAATGTTATGAAAACTCAATGTAACGCGCAATAATTATCCCAAATCGGCCAAACTAGCAATTTTCAAACCCCAATCACTTCACAAAAAAATGACAATAGCTAATTTTTTTACATTTGAGCTCCGGACAACAATATCTTGCAGATGGTAAACAACATTTGCGTCGAAAACGCTGACTTAAAAGTCGAAAATTGATTGAATAAAAACTCCAAGCATTAATATTCCAAACTTTCTTCAAAATCTTAACAACAATAGCCTGCAATAGTATCTTCAGCATTGAATGTAATTTAGCGCAGAAATTTATGCGCCTACTCTGAAAAAATAATTTAAAAATAAAAACGTAAGATATCGGTAGAAAAAAAACTAAATAAAATATAACAAGCGTTTGCTAAAACAGTTTGAGAGAAATACAAGACCGAATAAAAAATTTCCAAACTATCCGTACACAATTGAATTCAAATATCCGTTTAAAAACTATAACCCTGATTCCCGTACAGTTACCTTAAGCAGTAATGGTTGTTTTTCGAAAGAAAAATTTTCATTTTAATTTAAATTCGAAGCAATTTCTACATAGTGATTCAAAATTACGTCAAAATGTTATATTTACAATTTACAATTATTTGCAACAACTACAAAATAAGCATGAAATGTCGAATATACACAGTACAGTTAAGACAAACGTCACAATATACAGCCTTTGATTCAGGAAATGGCGCAAAAAAAAGAATTAAGGTGGGCGCAGGAAACTATGATTTAAAAAATTCCTCTGAGCTGATTTTAACAAAAATGCATTTGATTTTTTACTGCAATGGAAATCTTCAGAAAGCTCGGAGGATTTACATTGCTGGACCAAATTTGAAATTTTTTTTGGATATGATGTTCAAAACGCGGCTACTCGTTCCTTTTGTTAGCTGTAGCACCATGGCAGGAAAGAGAGTAAAGTAAAGGCATTTAAAATATGTTCTTAAATACGATTCACTGATATTGGCACAAAATCGAAATATACTTCGAACGCGAAAAAAAATTGTGGCATTTAAATGCAACAAAGCTACGATTGAAATTGAAACAAAAAATGACAAATGCCTCAGCGGCCTCTTTGCGCGCCGCACTCGTAGCAGAATTTGGCAGTGGTCCCCGAAAATTTTGTGCCACAGCTGCCGCAAAATTTAGGTCCTCCTCCTCCTCCCGATCCTCCTCCGGCAGCAGGTGGTGCTTGTCTAGAGGCGCCGCCACTACTGGGTACATTTGCGTATTGGCTGCGGCCATTGGTTCTAAACATTGTATGTACAAATGAGAAGGTACAATAAGTTTCCTGCTTCATGCAATAGCTATTCATAAAGCGGATTTTCAGCGGATAATCAACAAACCGCCAAATCTTGAAGCCGAAATTGCATCAGAATAACGTAAATTACATCAGAACTACGTAACAATTGCATAACAACAATGACAATCTATTGTTATGTTGCATAACAAAATTAATTTCGGCTTGTTGGAATGGTTATACTTTTTTCGGTTTGCTGGCCCTTCGGCATGTTGGTCTACCAGTGGATTTTCAGTTACAATTTTGAACACAGAGGCGACCCGATGGCAAATCATCGAAATAGAGCGAAATGTCATTTTCGGACAAAACAATGTCTCATCGGACAAAACGTCTAATTTGCGTTCGAACATTTCAACTTCGCTTTGACCTTTTCTGAACTACTAGACAAATCTATCAATTAGCCGATTTTATCAAGTATTTTACAGAACACTACGAATCATCTTCTAAGATTTACCTAAAATTACTTTTAAATCTTCGTAACTGTGTTTTCATTTTCCTGAGAACATTGATGCTGTTTTTAAATACTTCTAATGTAATGTCAACTGATTCAACAGAACAGAGGAGAGAGGAAAGACGGAGAACTATGCACAGAGCACAAAATTAGGCGATGGGGCAACTTTATGTGTACTTATGCTTGTGAGGGGCAGAGGAGAACCCGCAACACATAGGTTGTGCGGGTGAGCTCACACAGGATGAAGGTGCGCTGGGGGGAGGGGGCGGGGACTGGGAGACGGGCGGTCTCCTCTGTCTCTGTCGTATAGGAGGAGCCCTGTTATTGACTTGGGGGCTAGTAGTGTTAATGACGTCATCTTCCTCAAAAGTATCCCCCCTATCACCCCGATTGTTGCTCTGGCGTCTCCGCCTCCCCTTGCCCCCCTTCCCTTCGCCTCCCCCACTCACACTCTCATAGAACTCGTCATATCTAGTCAGTCATTTACAAGTTCACCTTAATGGCTGTAGGTAAAAACTTAAAATTAGTACCGGTATGCATGCCGACATCTATACCAGAAAAATATCTAAATTATATACTAGTGCAACATATTAACTTTTCTGCCTAAACTATCATGAAAACAACAAATAAAATAACTCCCTAAAGGCCATAACAGTTTTTTCCACACTGTCTCGTTGTCAGTCATTTACAGGTCTGTTTTTCTGCCGAAAACTGATAATCTCCAAAAACAAAAACGGTCCGCCGAAACACATTAACATTTGTAGCAACTGTAAGCTAAACCCATTACCAATGCAAATAAAATCAACTATATTCTCTGGAAAAATTCGTTTCACAAAAGAAAAACTCAGCAAAAAATAGCATCGCATGGTTACAAAATATTGAGCTCCAAATTAAAAAGCTAAGTGATGCCAAAATTATTCAAGCGTAGGTGAATTATTTTGCTGATGTTTCCTTTGACTCATAAACAGCATACAGTCACTGTATCGTACTGAAAGCGCAATAACCGGATAAAAATTCCAATCTTAACCAAATAACAGCAGCTGTCTTTTAAATTCACCATTTTGTCATTCTGATAATCTAAAAACTACTACTTATTTTCTGAAAAAGAATAACTTCTAATCTAAAAACAATCACGTTTCATCTGTTTTGATAGCTATGTTAATACTTTTCAGTCAGCCGATTTCAGAAGCTCTTCTATATCGGTCGTGTAATCGTATACAAATATAAATCGGTAGTAATTATGACATCTGAGGATTTATTCGACCAGTTGAAAATCATCGTCGTCCTGGGTTTCCTCGAGTAGCGATGGTCGCTTTTGGCTTCGCACTGCTGCAGTCAATCAAACGAAACTCTATCGATTAGATGTCTTGATTCGCAACAAGACGACTGATGACAAATGATGTTATTCGATTGACTGTGGCCAGTTCACTAGTTAGGTGTTAATTAGGTGGTAACTAAGTAAGGACGCAGGTTTTCCTTGTATGCATAAAAAGACGAACATGTAGGCAAAAAGCAAAGTATGGTTTAAAAAATTGGTACTGTTCCAAATATAATTTGAAAAAAAAAAATTATCAACTGTAAGAGCTCGACACGTTATCAGCGAATGAAAACACGAGAAAACTTCAGAGCGCAACTTACGTGTTCTGAGTTGAGCTTCCGCCCCCTCTTTGCTGTGCCATTCCTGGCCTCTCTTGGCCCCTGGATCCACTAGGTGCTGCTCTGCCGCCTCCTTGAGCCGGTCTACTACCTACAGGACTACCCGCTGAAACCAGATATAATTTGTCTACTTCCTTGTTTTTCGGAAAATTAAAACCACCAACTGAGAGTTAGAAAAAATTTAACAGACTCAAAGAAACCGCTTCATAAAACCAATATACATCACATCAAAGCTCTTTCAATTTCGAGGATACTTTGTGATTGTCACTTTTTCAATATAGCCCATAGACAGTTGAAATAGGGTCAAAGAACTCAAGGAAACCCAAACAGATGATGGACTTTTTATCACGTAAATATGTCAATGTCACGCAATAACTCTTAGCATTAAAAAATCTTCTACAAGATATTTCTCGTTGACCAAAGCGAAGGTAGATTCTTCACTTGATCGTTTTTCATAAAATTAGCCCAATTAGAGAAAACAATCGTCGTATTACATTACGCTGCGCATGTGTTACTACACTCAATCGATATTTTAACTTAAATTCATGCGGCATGAGTTCTTCACTTACAAAATGAATTTGAAATCCAACAATAAAAGAGCTTCTTTAATAGAAAAATGAGCAAGGGCAACTTTGACGAATTTTTGCTGTAAAACACGCTACAAAAACAGCAAACTTTTCTGGATCTGGTATGTACTCAGATTGGTACCATTCTCTTGTGCAAAACCATGTTCATATTTATAGGTTTTCATGTCTTTCCACTTCACAATGAAACAACCTCACAAGACGGATTAACAGTTAGAAACTTCCACACTCCACAGCTTATAAAATCAGTTTCAAACAGATATGGTTAGTATAAAATTTCAGTAATTTAACTTTTTAAACCTTTTGTGCTGCCTCCGCGCAAGCTTGCTGATGCGCTTGGTGAAGGTTTCATGGAGCTGCTAAGTGCTCCTATGTCCCTAGATGTAGCTAAAAATCAAATCATCCATTCTAAACATTCAGTTTTATAATTCCATCGAAAGGCTGCGTGACAATCATTCCCATACTGATATAGGACCTCTCTACCGTTGAAAGATAGCATTCAACGGTTAAACTTTTACCAATTTTGGCAGAGTTTAAGAGATCCCTGAATTATTATCTAAGCAAAAGTAAAGTACATGAGAGAAGAGAGACAGTGTCAAAGATCTTGACCAACGGGTAATTGGAGTTTGACTTTGTGATGCTGGGTTGTATGATGTCTTAGGGCCCGAATGACGCTTAGAGCCATAAGCTGTAAAATACACAGCCTCAATTGAAGAGTGGACAAATATCACACACAATTCACCATTTCACCACAAACACGTGAAAATTGATTCCAATTGAGGTAAAAAAAACAATTTTTCCAATATGCGTGGGTATAATGTCTCACCTCCTGATGAACCCGGTGGTGGGTTCCGACTGGCAGTCATCGCAGCTCCTCGTGACGGACCACCGCGTGCTGCCATTCCACCTCGAGTCTAAAACAGTAAAACAAATAGCATAATGAAGCTGTTGACAATTACCCGCAAATAAGTCTTCACTTTTCATCAGACGACTATATTTAGTTGCAAAAACTTCTATAAAAACTCATTTTTATGGACTTCCGGCAATGAATTTTAGCGCTTATGATGCAAAATCTATCCCAAGACAAGAGGGAAGACAAAATTGGACCAAAATCCCGTGCGTTGCTATCTCTGAGTCTTGTTCCAGATAAAGTAATGTGCTATATTGTGACTATTTTCAAATTATGAATCGAAAAAAAAAGAATTTCTAGCTTTTTACAACTACTGAGGCATTGATTTTAACCTTATTTCCAATGTCTTTCTGGGCACGTTTTGTTTGTTCACCACAAATCTGCTCATGCTTCTCAACTCTCTCCCTGTTGAAAGTCCTTGCACAGTATCTACAAGCCTCCATTCCAGGATTCATGGTGGGAGGAGGGGCGGAGCCTCCACTGGACTTCATGGGAGGGGCACCTCTAGCTGCTCGCATTCCGTCCACCAACTGCTCATGTTTGTACTTCCAATTATTCCTTGTGGCTTCGTGAGCCTTCTGATATCTAGCTGGTTCTTTCTAAACAGACATATTTTACTCAATTTCTTTCACAGTACACAAAAAACTTACCGCAGAGGCGGTTGTCGACAAGATTTAGGAAAAAATAAAAGAAGCAGCTGATAAATATGTTGTACCGTCCGTGGCAAAATCTGTAAAGACTTCATTAAAATAAGATACAAATCACTCAGGCTTCTTGTTGCCCCATCAAATGAGACAACAGATGACGCCAATTACCAGCTGAACTATTCATTAGTCAACATAGAATAGTTAAAAATGGCAAACATAAAACGCCAAAAATGGAAAAAATGAGAGAGCCACACGCCTAAATCTCGCGCAGAACTTGCCGCCACATTACTTTGTAGACGAGAAAGTCAAGTCAAACTTGCAAACAAAATCTGGAAATAAATTAAAACTAAAACTAGCTTCACGCACTTTAGGAACAAAAAAAAATAGAAACCATGCGCCCGAAAGAAAATGGAAAACTTTCAAAAAAAATTTCTGGAAGAAAAATGCAAAACAGTTTTATTTCTAAGAGAAAAATTTGGCGCCTACTAAAACCAGAAAATCATGAAATATAATTAGCCTCATGAAAACGGAAAAAAAAGTATCCAAAAACTTACCAAAAATTTCCAGAATTAATTACCCGGCAAGTAAGCCGACAAAATTTGGGTCGAAATCAACAAAGCCGACACAAAATCAACTTACATCTAAAAATCTTGTTCAGCTGTAAAACAATTATCACTTTAGTCGTTAAAGCCAGCATTTAAATTACAGCTAACAGACGTGCATCTTGAATAGAAATAGAGAATAGATTTCTTTATTCAGTCATCCTGTGGACAAAGTTGATTACGGGAAAAAGTCTAGTATCCGATTGTAATAACCTTGCTTATCGCAAGGGTAGAAACAGGACAATTGAGCATGAACCTGAAAACGTTTAATCTAACTTGAATCGTTAAAATCTTAAATTTGAACTGAAAGTTTTTGATAGAAACGAAAAATTTTTCATTAATAGATCCATTGGTTCGTATAAGATAATTTTCATGTTTAATAGTACCCATTTCGGGGCCAAACTGTGCATTGGATGGGCGCACAGTTTGATGTCTGCACGTTCCGAAGTATAAGAGTACTGTAAGCTTCGCGCCACTTGCGATACAGAAAAAAAAACGAAAGAACAACAACACCCGAAAACTTCATCTGTTTGTCTAAAAATATTACTCATTTTGACGAAAACCTATAGCTGAACACAACAGGTAACATTGAACTAGCATAAAAAAAATTCCGAGTGGTGAGTATGCAGACAAAACCGGGATAAAGGGTCATACAACATCCAAACGTGGGATTTTTTGTAAGCAGAAAAACCGATGTGCCATTTATTTGAAGTCCACACAAATTAAGACAAAAAAGGTGACAAAAAAAAGCTGGCAAAAAAACTGTCGTCTATTTCATTTTCTTCGCTATCGGTATAAAAACAAAATACTCTTGTTACATTAACCCATATTACATTGAACTGCAAATGAAAAACACACTTAACAGAACGAGAAGAAAATATTAGGTGTACTAAAAACAAATAGCGAAAACAAACTGCAGCTTAAAGTTCAGATACACTCTGATTAAAAGTCATCATCGAGCATCAATTTTGGGGTTGACCAATCTGACAACCCAATCAAAATCGAAAACCTTTGGTCATGTAAAACTTCCGTTTCTTGAAATTGAAAAAGCAGCTGACAGGGCTCCGGAGGGAGGAAAAAAATCTGGAAAAGCAACGTATCGAAGATATTTACATCGAATTTCCGTGGAAGAGTCCATGGAAATAAATCAATAATTTCGAATTTAAAACAAACTGGAGAAGCTTAGAAGGCACCAGGTATAATTACCAGTCATCCGAAACCAATAAGCGAATCCAGATTGAAAAACTATAGCTCGATGAGACCAGTTTTGTTCGGAAATCAAATTTGAGAAGCATAAGTTAGAATGGGAAGAATATAATTCTTATACACTAACTTAAACGGATCTGGAGACATTTTAGACACATTTTTTTCAAGCAAGAAGGCAACTTTGCAACACAAAGAAAACTTGTCGGCAATATAAATTGACCAACTTAGGTCTGAACAAAAATTAATTACACCAAGGACTTTATAACTTTGAACGCAATCGACCAAACAATTACCGATATGGAGGGTTGTGATAGATGAGTAGTTGAAGAACGAAAACTTTTCAAGATATATATCCAGCGAGTATTTATAACACCACTGCTGTACAGTCAACATGAAAAATTGTAAACAATTGAGATCGACTCTGCAGCTTATAAGATGATCTGCAAATAGAAGAACGCAATGTCCCAGGATGCTGCCTTACCGTAAGCCATCTATCACTGCGGCAATTTCGGATAATACGCCGTTTATTAGAACTCGTTGAAAGCGACTGGGTCAAAAAAATTATATTATATCCAAAAATCAAGATCAAAGCCAAATGGCGCTAGTTTAACTAAGAGCCTTTAATGCCGTGCTGAACCAAAAGCTTTCTTGAAGTCAGCATAAAACACATGAGTTCAACTATTAATTTTATGTCCTTCAAAAAATTTATCACAGATGCACATCAGCTGAGTTACCGTTGACCGCCTGGACAAAAACCAAATTGTGAACTTGAAACTGTTTGATTACCAAATAAATATGATCGAACAAAAAGGTTTCCAGTCCCAGCTATAACTTCGGTAAAAAAATGATTGGACGATAATAAGTAACTTCGCTATGATTTTCTTTGAGGAGAGGCGTAACATACACAGTTTTCCAATCGTAAGGCCAGAGTTAGCGCTTCAAAATATCAGTGTAAAGAGGAATAGCCAACGGACAAATTTGAGTTGAACAAAACTTGAGACACGCGGGAGGTACATTGTCATTCACGACAAACAGATGAAAAATCATTCGCAGAGGGTAAGAATTTGTGTTTATCAAACGAGATGGTGATTGTTTTCAAAGAAGATAAGACGAAGCATAAAGCAGCGTCACATCTCGAGATTTAGACTGTTTGAAAAATGAAGCAAAGAAGGGATTGAATAGATTCGATTTGTCTGAAACAGCACGAGCTTAGTATGATCTCCAATACAAAGTGCGAGGATATGATGACATGTTGGAATAACTGCGTACAAACTTTGGAAAAATGTTTACATCCAAAATTGCAAACGAGTTGGGGAAAACAAATTTCTGTCATCTAGGTCGAGACTCAGAAAAATAATATAACACAATGATTATTTTCAAAATGAAGTATGTTCATCAGGTTTACAGACAAAGAACTGTAGTAGAAAGGAAGCTTTTGCCTCATCTTCCGTTTAAGCTTAGCAGATGAACTTACTGCAGCTGCTTTATGAGGTAGAAAAATCGTGCTGTCAGATTCAACTAACTCAGGGTAACATAAAGCATTATAGCGTATTTCTAGAAAACCAGTAAGAAGGGTAATGTCAAAAAACATTCTAGAGTAAATGAACGGAATTGCTTCAGGGTATGTTTGCATTGAACCCATTAGCACGGTGATCGGTACAGCACAGTGATCGGAAACACATGGCTCGCATTCTAGACAACCACTCTAGGCCTCCTAAAGCCGAAACTCTTGATAAACAAACAAAGGTATCGTTCGATGCAAACAGGCTAAAAAGCACTAGAAGCAACATAAAAATCAGCTGACAAAAAAACGGATTGAAAATTTTACCAAGAAAATTACGACAAAAACACATGAGTTCATTTACCTCAGCTTAAAAGTACATAATAAGAACAGCAGGCACCTCTAGTATTATTGAGGAAAATATCCGAACAAAGCTTTATTTTAAAGAAAAACACTAGAAAACAAGTACGCTGCATTTTGTTAACTTACCATTTCAAACTGTCTAATCATTTACCATTCTGTGAAAAAGGCTATTTACGGAAAAGAAAGTCTTTTAACAGGTTCCAATACGCTTGCTTTTCGCAAGGATATTACTTCCTCATTATGATCCCTAAATCAACTTATTTCAGTTTGTAATCATTCTTTCAGTATTTGAGATTGGAATCGTGTTCATTCTTTGATTTTTTTCCTACAGTATTCAAAATTTTATGTGGTGACTTCAAACTGTTCGCGATTATTGAGATTGACCTGAAGTAAATACAGCGAGGAGAATGAATAGTTTAGCAAAAAAAAACACAAAAAAAGTTATCAAACTCAATCAATAAACGAAAAAAAAATTTCAACAAACCGATTGGAAAACATACAACCAAGTTGAAAAGTGCGGAGGGGAAGCCCAGTTGTATTTCCATAATTTTAGGTCATAAGCCGATAAAAAGGGCCAAAAAAATTTGCGCCGAGGAATATTTTCTAGCGAAACAAAAAAACAAAGGAGGAAATACGAAGTCAAGGCAATTTAAATTACACAATGTAGGAGTACATCAAATACTTAAGGTAACATCAACATTAAAGAAAAATGCACGCAGCAAAAAATGATTCCAAGATGTGACAACTAAGCCAAAAACAGATAAGCAGACAGATAGTTGGCCTACAGTTTTATTTGAAACAGTATATTTCCGGTTTGAAAAAAGAAGTCTTGGTCAGATTCAAACCCAGAACTTTTGCCTTTCTAGTGATTTTCGTTTCCTCCAGGTTATGTTGGCCAGGAACGCAAAAAAGTTCGAATTCATTATGAACCAATATACAAGTGATTCTGTTAAACAAGTTGTTAACCCAAAAAGTCTATATTCCGGTTTGATTACACTTAGTAATCGCAAGCGTAAAGACTAATCATTATCAAAAAAACAACTGGATACAAAATAAACACCAAGTAAAAAATCCGATATCTATTACGCTGAAAAACAGCCGAAATATTTTTCAGTAAGAAATCATTTGCAAAACTCAAGCATCTACCACCTACAAAGCAAGAATTAGCCCTATATGAGCAAAACACCTACGAGGCATATTTAAAAAAACTACCACTTCGAACTTGCTTCGAAATGTACCATTTACCAATGTACCATGTAAATAATTGAAAAGAAAAAACTAATCCTAGAGAAGTTTTGCCGCAAGCAAATGAACTGAAAAAGGAACATAAAAACAAACACAACCTCGCCGATAAAAATCATCTTCATTGGCTGAACTCCTATCATTTCATACACGCATCGTGTACATTACATGCTTCAAAAAACAGTGGCAAAGCTACGCTTCGCAAACAGTAGCAAGAACACGACAAAAAACAGCTCTATAAGAAGCAATAAAAAACTCAGATTCAATCTGCGACCTAGAGATGTAGGGTCTCACGCACTAACCATTCAGCCACGGTCGCTTAAAAACTCTCAACACTAGCCATAAATAAAGCAGAGAACAGATGCTGTGAAATTTTCAATGCTATAGATCGTGATTATAGCAAAAATGCCAACAAATAAGTGAACACTTTTATTTGCAAATAAGATGGGAACAAAGGTTTTTACTAATACACTAACGCTCGCAAGCTGGCTAGTGTAAGCATGAAGTTGCTGTTGAAGTATCCCAGAACACGTTTTACATTTTCAAACACAGACGCGAAGCTAAGCTCCGCGCCCTTACGATACAACACAAACGAAAAAAACATGTCAAAATAAAAAGAAAAATATTGGAAAACCTAGCCAACTGACTGTTGGAAAAGAGTAATGAACGCAAGGAAACTGAAAAAAAAAACTGACTGGTTTTTTCAAAAACCTTCAGCGTTTGAATTTCGAAGAAAACAGATGGCCCTTAAGCTCTTTAAATTTGTAGAACAATTTATCATGGACACTTTTTGTTCAAATTAACCCAATTTGAGAAAACAGGATCAAAAGGTACAACTTTTAATTCACTGGAAAACCTGATAATTAATTTCCATTTTTGAAATTAGAAGTCGATTACGTTTTCGGTGAATTTTACACTTTTGCTGTTTGATAGTGGAGTTTACCTTCCTTTTAACAATGAAAATGCAATAAACTTGAAAAAAATCCACAAGTCAAGCCGCAAAAAAAAATCAAAATTGAGCGAGAACAAATTTCAAAACTTTTCCTGAAAAAACCAAAAAAAAAAATCAGCAAGACTGATATATATATCATAAAAATCCTTTTCAATACTTGCTATCAACGTTTAAAAGATATTGACTTATACACTAGCGTCAATTTATAGTTCCGGCTATTTGAAAAACGTGGGGGAATATAGTAATCGGATTTATTTTAGCTTCTTCGTTTTTTTTGTTTTCCAAGCAACCAACGGAACGGGTCGTGTGATATATCATGTTAAAACCCTTTCAGTCGTGATTCGATAAATCGGTCATCGGAATGGGTCAAAAGATGTATCATATTAGAACCCTTTCAGTCGTGATTCGAACGACATTAAATGTCCGAGTGTCGAGAAAACTGGTTTTGAGTTTCAGTTGAATTTTCAAATTTTTTGAATATATATTTTTTCAATTTTCGTTTTTCTGATCATTTTCTACAAATTTCTTTGTCTATTTTGCATATATTACGATGACTGACGAATATGCCTAAATTATTGTTTTTCGTCATAACCTTTTACCACACCACGCAAAACAACTACACTCATTTGAAAATAAAGTAGTTTTTATGCAGTTTTTAAAGACTGTGGTCGGAACATTCTGTGCTACTTGCTCAGTAACCGACTATCCTTGTTGCAATTTGCTAACGCCCGGCAAAAAAATTGTGAGTCTTATATATAATTTGCTTCCGCAAAGGAAATGATTCAGGCTCGTAGACATAGGTTGAATTTAAAAATAACAAAGTTGGGTGTGTATATATTTGTTTCGGTAATTTGCGTATTCAGGTAAGCTTCAGTAGCCCATTTTTCAATCCATTGGGTTAAAAAACTGAATCCGGCTTATTTGATGAAGTAAGATACATAACGATTTAAATTATTACTTTGGGTGCTTGTCCTGGTTTCAACACAGCAGATATGGGGACGTCTGAACCTGCTGCTCTTTGTTTGCCGGAGTCGAACACCTTCCTTTTCTTTTTAGCGTTCTTGGCGCAGATTGGCGCGTGCTTAGATAGAACATCTGGATTAAACGTTCTTCCGCAATTCTTACAAGGAACTAAACTCACATTCACTAAAACAGTTGCAAACTATTGACGAAAAGGAACTATCACCACAATTTCCCGAGAAAAACAGTCAGATAAGTGATTTATTATATTTTGGAAACTCAAGAAATAAGAAGGGGCTTACCGGTGTTATTGGCTTCCATTTCTCGGTGCTGAAATTTTCTCAAGATTATACAATGACAAACATAAAAGTCTGAAAAAAAAGTGGTGATTATTGACGTTAAAATCTGCGTTCAAATTAACACACATTTTGAACCGTTTTGAATGAAAAAAGTTAATTAGGCTTCCGATAATACTATTTTAGGGTTTGCATCATAATAAGTTAGTACGCTAGTTAAAATCAACTAGCGTTTCACGCACCTCCGGTGCTTCGACCTTTTGACAAACCAAAAAAACGGCATATCTCGGAAACTGAGAAGATTTGAGCAGTCAAACTTGGAGGAAAGAATTGCAAACTCTGAGAGAAACCTGAGATCACGCCATTATAGGGTTGGGAATTTTTTTAATTCAAAATTTTCGGAAAATTATGAAAAAAACGTCAAATCTCGGAAACTAAAAACATTTAAGCAGTCGTGTTGGGAGGCAAGGTTTACTACGAATGAAAGTACCTTGACAGCGCCTCACATTACGCTGTTGAGATTTTCAAGTTTTGTGAAGTTTTCATATCTGATTTCTTTGAAAATTTTCAAAAAATCATAAAAAACGTCATATCTCAGAACCTAAAAGGAGTTGAGCAGAAAAATCTGAAGGCAAGATTAGCTACTCCTGATAGCACCCCACCATAGGGTTGCTAATATCAAAATTTTTGAAGTTTTAAAAATCTAAATTATTTGAAAATTTTTCAAAACCAAAAAAAAACATATCATCTCGGAAGCCAAAAGGATTTGAGCAGAGTCATATTTGGAGATAAGAATTGCAACTACTATAAGTACACTGACAGCGCCCCAATATAGGGTTGCTAATATCAAACTTTGTGATGTTTTGTAACATTCGCCCGGAAGATACATATCGACGGATAACAAAACTAAGTCTTAAGACGACTGGCTAGCGTCTAAACAGAGCTTTGCATGTTTTTCACCGTCTCTACCAAGCCAGTACTTTTCGGTGGTCTTTCTTACATCGGGTCGACAAAAACGTTACTGCTCTCCGGCTTCGACCAGAACGCTCAAATTAACTGAATTACATGCAAAAATAGTGAGCTCATGGCTGGGTCTCAGTATCCCCAGACCACGAGGTCACTCCTAAAAGCAGGGCTACTACTTATTATATTACTATTGTTTTTCTTCAGTAGATAAAAATCATCATCTCCATCGAAGATGGATCAACCCTTTCCCCCAACTCCTAGCACCTCATCCTTGTCAAAACTAATCAAAATATCAGTTAAATTCAAGTCAGGACATGACAGGATGCTAAAAGTTTATGTGAGTTAATAAAAGTTTCCGTCCCGAGACCCTTCCGGATTCTTGAATCCGCTGAATCAAGCTCCCTACTCTTGATTTCTTGCTAATCCGGAAGGCTGGTTCTCACCCTTCACCGTTGTTGGCAACGGCCTTGCAACTATTGTAGCAGCACAATAGTTGCAACTCAGAACGTTCTCTGCTATTCTGTAGTTCGTTGTTGTTTTTCTTTAATCTCGATTTTCGTTCTGTTCGCAATCACAGATAAAATTGTTCTGTTTTTCACTCGCTTTTTTGTTAAAATGGCCGTTTCAGCATTTCTCAGAAATGTGACGTCATCATTCGAATTTTTGAAAATTTAAAATACTAGAATATTCTAGCCCTCACCGTTTGGCTAAACGTTCCAATAACGTCGCTAATCCTTCGAAATCATCAACTCGGAAGGCTTACTGCTCAAAATTCGAATCCTGCATAAATTGCATTTTGGCCATTCTGGTCGAATGTCACATACTCCCCGGACAGTCCGGTCAATGTCCTCATTGAATCGCGCAATGTTCTAAATGGTTACAGTGTCATCGAACAGAATTTACAAAATGCACGAAATTACTTTTACCTACGTCACATCGACTCACTGCAGAATATAAATGGCATCATACTACATCACTATAGCCTTCAAATTCTTTCATTAATCTGCACATTGAGGATATGACTTAAGATAAAACATATTTTCTGACTTCCAGTGTCAATGTCCCGATTGAAACTTTTTCTCCTAGATTTAAAAGGTGTTGGCTTGCAGGACAGTCCTGCCAACCAACAAGCTAAAATTATCCTACTATGCTCCTTCCCTTCGGAAATCTTGCTTGTTTATTGTCCTGAATATTAAAACCAAGAGACCTTGTGGTTAGAAAGAACAATGCAACAACCTCCCTCCTCAAGAAGTCACTCAAGTTTTTCATGTCACCACAAAGTGATCAGTCTTCCTAAGTGATTAAAAACAATCATGCAGGCTGGAATATTTAATTATACTCTTCCCTCAAGCCTTTCTAAATAAATAATAAGTGAGTGTCTCTAAAGCCACTTCAACTAAAACCAAAATGCAAATTTATAAATGCAACAATTTCCAAACTCAACTAAATGTTTCAGTTTTCAATTACAACTTGGTTGCTTGGTTTCTCACTTGAGTTTTTCACACACATAAAACAATTCTGAGTTTTAACTTTTCTTCATCATCCCTTTGTTCTCTTCTTTTTTCGTCGTTTAGAAGTTCTAAAACTTCTAAACTCTTCTAATTTTCTTTCTTGCTGCCTCTTGTTTTCTCGACCATTCGTCAATTCTCCATTTCCTCCTCCTGTGACACTGACTCCGCACTCTCGGTTTCCGTGTCTTGTAGCACGTCATTGACTATCCTGACGCTGTTGGAAGCCGTCCTCCAACACTTCTGCTCTTCCACCCTCTGTTTACAGCAAGGTAGGGGATCCACGTTTGATTCTCTGTTTCTACAGAAGCTGTTGTGGAGACACAACGTCACGTTTCTCTCCAAATCTTCTTTCAGCATCTCTGCCTTCTCATTTCCACTACGCTCGCTCGTCCTGGAAATTCTTTTCACAGCGGTAGTCACTGCATTCCGATGGGTCACGAAAGCTCGCTTGAAAGCTCCTGCCCCAATGTCCAGCTGATATTCACTGTACACTCTGCCATGTTTCGACATATGCTTTTTCGCATACTCGTACAACCATGCAGTCATGTTAGCTCTGAACCATGGCATCAATCGTTTTCTTGCCCATATCTTCTTCACTTCCATCGGAATGTTTAGAACTTTGCACATTGTCTCAAAAAGATCTAAATCGTTTAGACAATCTAATTTCTGCAATTGTTCTCTCGTCGGTGCCTCCTGTCTATTATTTTCTCTCACATGAGCTTCCAGCCATCGTATCGCCATCATAACTCCCACTATCACTATTGTTATGGGCTGTGATGAATCTGGTAAACCCATGGAGGGCAGCTCTCCAGAGTCCCAGATCAACACCAAATTACTACGCTTGGGATACCACCAGGTCTGCAGCAAGCAGTGGCAAGGAAACTCGTCATGTGTCAACATGATGCTCCTCCAATTGCGTTTTCCTGAAGCTTCCAGCAATGGTTCCACTTCCATCATCACTCGGTGGATTTCATCATTCTCATCTACTGCATTGTAATCTGTGACAGTTGATCCTCTCTGTTTCTGTTTTTCAAAGTCACTGAAGTTCCCGCTCACATATCCCATGAACTTCTTTCCTAGTATTGACTCCAACTCCTCTTTGGGTCTCTCTGGAACTGCTGAAAACATCTTACATAGTAACTCGTAAGACTTTTCAGACATTCTCGCCAATCTCACGCACTTTGGCACTGAGAAAGCTTGATCCACGATCGTTCTTGTACTCCTCACGTCCACAGCCACGAAATGTACAGGGTATCTGCTCTTGCACATTGGAGCCAACGTTGAACCCACCAAATATCGTGCTCCTGATGGTCTACAATAAGTTTCGCTGTGTCTGATGTTCATCTCTGTTTCGATTGCTTCCCTCCATTTTCCTATATACTTCTGCTCAGTCTGCAGAACTCCTGGGAATACTTCTACGCTGATGGCTGTGACCATCTCATGTTTATGCTCTAGATTCAATAGTGACTCTAAAGAACCAAACATGCTGTAGAATCCTAGTGCTGTCACTAGATTCACATCGGTTCCTCCATGGCAATCTGCTATCAGTTCCGTTTCCGTTCTTGCTTTCATCACCACATTTCCAAACAATACTGTCAACTGCTTGTGTTGTTTCTCCAGGGTTTTCACACAGTCTAGACTTCCACAAACGTGACCCTCTAGTCCACAGACTTCCGCCAGACAGCTACCAGGTTTGACCCAGTCTTCTGGTCCCCAGCCAGGCAACTCCACTTTATCTTCTCCGTTGCTCTTAGAGGCTGTTATCATCACATTATATATGATGTTGAGGTCACGCAGGTTACAGTCCGCATTCAGTTCCCTCTGTATGTCTTGTGTCGCCCGTAATATTGAGTCAGCGTTGGGACTAGGACACCATGATGGCTTCATCAATTCCCACACTGCCATCAAGCTCGTTCTCAGTAATTCATCTGAGAATCCCAACCCAAATTCCACTCTCTTGTCGGATTTTGGTACTGAAGGTGCAGTCACCTCTTCTTCCAAGACCAATCCCAATTTGGCCTGTGGATTGTTAACGCTCTTAGTCGTTACAATTCTGGACGTCCAGAACCTTAGTAACACCGCCTGCTCATAATCAAAGAAGCAATCACGTATGTCTTCACTCAGGAAAGGATTGTACGCTATCCCTATGATCCCGGATACATAGCTATATGACTTCTTCTTGATCGGTCCACAGTATTCACTGGATTTCGGCAATGCTCCCATAGATTCTTTAGTGAGCCTCAACTCCTTGTTTGAGAATCTCCTGATCTCGTCTATCTTTTTCATGGGTTCCAATTCTTCAGGTTCTTTCATGTTCACCCTCATCGGTTTACTTTGCTGCATATCCAGCATTGCTAGTAAGAACATGGCTTTCGTTCGCTCATCGCCTTCCTTCAACATTTTAACACAAGTGTTTAATGCAGGTACTGAGATCTGCTCTATCAGGAATCGAATGAAACAGAGAGCGTCTCTCCGCTTTGCACACGCTACTGCTGCTCCCTCCTGGACTATCAGATCCCTCAGATTCGTCATAAGGAAAACTTTTTCCTCCTTTGATCTCTTCCTTTCTTCTGAATCATATTCTTCGCGAGTCAGTCCCA